ATTTTCATAGAAAAAATGTTATCCGGATAATGTTTTCATAGAAGAAATGTTATCCGGATAATGTTTTCATAGAAAAAATGTTATCCGGATAATGTTTTCATTGAAAAAATGTTATCCGGAAAATATTTCCATAGAAAAAATTTTATCCGGATAATATTTCCATAGGAAAAATATTATCCGGATAATATTTTCATAGGAAAAATGTTATCCGGATAATATTTTCATAGGAAAAATGTTATCCGGATAATATTTTCATAGGAAAAATGTTATCCGGATAATATTTTCATAGGAAAAATGTTATACGGATAATATTTTCATAGGAAAAATGTTATCCGGATAATATTTTCATAGGAAAAATGTTATCCGCATAATACTTTCATAGGAAAAATGTTATCCGGATAATGTTTTTATAGAAAAAATGTTATCCGAATAATATTTCCATAGAAAAAAATTTATCCGGATAATATTTCTATAGAAAAAATTTTATTTGGATAATATTTCCATTGAAAAAATTTTATCCGGATAATATTTTCATAAAAAAATATTATCAGGATAATATTTTCATCGAAAAAATGTTATCCGGATAATATTTTTGTAGTAAAAAAGTTATCCGGATAATATTTTCATCGGAAAAATGATATCCGGATAATATATTCATCGGAAAAATGTTATCCGGATAATATTTTCATCGGAAAAATGTTATCCGGATAACATTTTCATAGGAAAAATGTTATCCGTATAATATAATCCGGATAATAAATTCATAGAAACAATTTTATCCGTATAATATTTTCATAGGAAAAATCTTATCCGGATAATATTTTCATAGGAAAAATCTTATCCGGATAATATTTTCATGGGAAAAATCTTATCCGGATAATATTTTCATAGGAAAAATCTTATCCGGATAATAACTTCAGAGGAAAAATCTTATCCGGATAATATTTTCATAGGAAAAATCTTATCCGGATAATAATTTTAGAGGAAAAATGTTATTCGTATAATAATTTCAGAGGAAAACTTTTAATACAGATTATATTTTTAGAGGAACACTTTTATCTGGATAATATGTTGTAATAAGATGTGCTATATAAACTATATAACCCGTATTATATTTTCCTTTGAGGTTTTATCAATCTATACATATTCCCCCATTGAGTGATTTAATGAATAAAATCTCCATTAACAACATTGCAAATCCAAATTCTACACCTGTTGCGCCGTTAGCATTTATTTCATTAGATTTCCAAATATTAATTTTCAAATCACACATTCCATGCACCAGCATCAATACCAACATTATTATGCCAATTGATGAATGAAAAAAGCATACATACATCATCATCAATACAATTTTTCATTTGCCTTATTGTATGAGACTGATGTTCGATGCTGGCTTGCCGACTGGCTAACTAAGTGAGAGGTGATTGTTTTCCACAATAATTTATTACAGCACACATATCCGAGTAATGTCAGTGGCCAATCATCAACATTTCTGGCGATCATTATGGAGCTGGCTGAACGAACCATCAATTGGTCAATATAATGATTATGATCGGCAAACAACCTTCAAAACAGATAGGAGCACGAAAATATATACATTTTTGTTTTTGTCTCGAACAACCCAAATGACCAATCAACCAATTTCAATCAATTTTTCATGTGAACATTGAATGGAAATTTGAACAGAATGTGGATTTTTTTTTATTTTGCACACAAGGTGTAGAATTACTGACCCGAACACATGCACACACACACACACAAACATGAAATATGTCAGTATCAATTGAATGCATTGGATTCTTACCAAAAACTGTAAAGAAAACCACAAACCTGGTCAAAAAAAAAAAAAAAAAATTCATTGGAAATTTAAAACCCTGCTGCACATGCTGAGTAATCACAACGACGACCAATGGCTAAAATTGTTGCATGTCAATTCCCTGGCCAAAGAAAGCCCCGCAACCCCTCAAAAAAGAAACGTTACACATGAAATTATATTATTTGTTTTCCTTTTGGCCAATATGGATTATCACGACTCAATTCTGCCAAAGTAGCTGCCATACTACTACCGAAGAGCAAAAACATAACAGAAAAATTTCTTTTGTTTGATAATGAGTGCAAAGCCAGCGAAAAAACCCGTTGTCCGCTTCTTTGTGTGTTGAGAAATGATTGACCGACCAGTCCGCGGTGCCGCATTTATTCCTCTTTTGATTTTTTTTTTTGCAAACACCATTAGATTTAGGCATGATTTCCTTGGTAATTGGAGTAGAAGAAGAACATTTGAATTGGGTGTTGAATAGTTAATAAACCATAATAAAGCACCTCTGAGAGGCAATAAAAACCCCAAACTAAATAATTTAATAAATTATGGCACGATAACGTTATACAGTTGGTCATAACATTGGCGGAAATATGTACAAAGCAGACTCATTACCAACATGAAATAAGTGGCAAGAAAATCGGCACTGGAGTGTATGTGAGCCCCACATTGGGCGCCAAATCAAATATGTTTTTCATATATTTCAGTTATATTCCTCACAAAAAGTTATACTTTCAAGACTCTTAAATTCGCATTGCTGTTGTAATAAAGATGTTTTCCTAGGTTTCATGTGAATGCGGTGACGAAGCTTTTGTAAGTAATTTGAAACGATGTTTTTATACGACCTGAAGGGACCTTTAGAGAAGATAACATAATGTATTTTCATATAATGCGAGTCTTTAAAGATGAAAAGAGGTCCTTCTCTGAATGGAGTCTTTAGAGACGATCTGAAGCCTTTATAGACGTGTATACATTCTCTAGTACCTAGTACAAGCTGAAGGGAGTCTTTCCTAGACAAGCTGAAGGGAGTCTTTCCTAGACGAGCTGATGGGGGTCTTTCCTAGACAAGCTGAAGGGAGTCTTTCCTGGACGAGCTGAAGGGAGTCTTTCCCAGACGAGCTCAAGGAAGCCTCTCCTAGACAAGCTGAAGGGAGTTTTTCCTAGACGAGCTGAAGGGAGTCTTTCCTAGACGAGCTGAAGGGAGTCTTTCCCAGACGAGTTGAAGGAAGCCTCTCCTAGACAAGCTGAAGGGAGTCTTTCCTAGACGAGCTGAAGAGAGTCTTTCCTAGACGAGCTGAAGGGAGTCTTTCTTAGACGAGCTGGAGGGAGTCTTTCCTAGACGAGCTGAAGGGAGCCTTTCCTAGTCGAGTTGAAGGGAGTCTTTCTTAGACGAGATGAAGGGAGTCTTTTCTAGACGAGCTGAAGGAAGTCTTTCCTAGACAAGGTGAAGGGTGTCTTTCCTAGACGAGCTGAAGGGAGTCTTTCCTAGACGAGCTGGAGGGAGTCTTTCCTAGACGAGCTGAAGGGAGTCTTTCCTAGACGAGCTGAAGGGAGTCTTTCCTAGACGAGCTGAAGGGAGTCTTTCCTAGACGAGCTGAAGGGAGTCTTTCCTAGACGAGCTGAAGGGAGTCTTTCCTAGACGAGCTGAAGGCAGGGAGTTTTAATAGATTACTGGAAAGGAGTTTATATTTACGAAGAGAAGGGATAATTAAAATGCGATCAGAATTAACTACTGCGAATTGGGGTTTATTGACAACAAACAGAATGCTTTTTGGGCTGCAAGATTTTTGATTTCGTCATCGACCCCAAAAATTTATTTAAAATTAATCTGAAAAGTCTTGATTAATAATCAATAAATTTAAAAAAAGAAACAGTTCTTAATTTTACAACATTTTTTTATCTAGCCAGTATTAGCATGGATTATTCGATTAAAGTTTTCCATGAAAATGTTCAAATACAAAAACTTATTAATATTACAAGTTGGGCGCCACTTTTGTACTTTCAAGAATATTTTCATCATTTCCCACTATTGGGCCCATTAAAACTATTACTCTATTGCACTCTCAGGGATAAATTTGCATATAGAGCAATAATTTTTTATTACCTGTTGCCTATGCCTTCCCTGAAACCAATAATCATGATATTATAGAGCTCATAATCTGTTGAAGTAACTTTTAATGCCAAATGAGAATTTTGAATTGTTTTATTGGATTGTATTTGTACTTGTTGCTGCTCATAAAGATTTTTAGTTGTAAAAGTTGAAGAAGTTGTGAAAATCAATACGCCGTTACAATGTTGAAATATTAACATTCGTACAAGTAATACTAATGCCCCACGTTGGGCGCCATTTATATTTCTAAACTAATATCTTCCTCATTTTCAATTATGTGCCTCATTAATTTGTTTCGACGTTCAGTTCAAATACCCCTCCTAGGGATATAATTACCCAAAACTACATATACAGCTACTACCTGTTGCCTATCCCTTCTTAAGACATTTACACACACACAATATTCTCTTTAATTTTGCTTCTCTTGTGCACAAATTTGACTTGTGAACTTTTATTTCGGGAAGTTTGGCAATTCTTATTTTCCGCACAGCCGGAAGTCATTGTTTTGCAATTAATTAACAATTAAAAACCATTATAGAATCATTTTGTATGAAATCTGTTTATTAACAACGAAGAACAACAAAAAAGAATTACTTGGAATTGTTTTGCTGTTGCAGAGTTTGTTTACTTTATGTTTTATTGCTTTGGCGGTTTGATGGCGGTGGTATTGTTGGCTAAGTAATGGTCTAAACGTGTGATGCAATTGTTGTTGTCTATGATTTAGGTCAATAGAACACAAATGTCGAATAAAGCAAAAAAATTAATTGAAACAGAAAAAATATTACCAATCAACAGATAATTGTTGGATGTATTGAGCAACTCAAATCGGAAACGATAATGAAAATTATTACAAAAGAAACTCGTTTGGAGGGATGGTATATTTCGGCTGTGTCGAAATTTTGAAATTGACAGCTAGACTACATTAACTAAATTTAGTAATAAAAAAATAAAACAAAAATAAATATATCGGAATTAAATACGTTATAACAATTTATTAAAATGTATATAACATATTAAAATAGTTTTTAAAATTTAGTCATATCTTAAATAATGTTTTTATCTTTTTTTCAGATAGACGTCTCTCCTCATAAATGAAAGTAAGTGCTGCCCTGACATAAAATATATTTATTAACAAATTTTCTTGCAAACATTAAATCATGGACCCCATGAACCAAGCACCACCAAATCAGCTCCATGGTTTAACAACCACATGTTGTACAGATTTTACCGCCAAACGAAAATCTTAATCACAAAAAAAAAAAAAAAACTAAATAAGAAAATATTTTTTGAAAGTTAATATATTTTTTCTTTGCTTTCCAAAAACAAAAGAAAAATGTTAGTAACGAAAACCAGCCAAAGAAAATGTAATAAACATCAAAAACCATATTTTACTTGCATTCACACACTCACATGAGTGAGTGCCTTTATTTTAAAGTATTTTATGGGTATTTTCTTAAAAAAAAAAAAAAAAAACTATTTAAGCCATAGCTAATTTAGTTTGGCTCCCTTCTACTACTCCTCACACACGTTTTCGATGGCAACATGAATTTTTCCTCCATTTTTACGCTTTTCTCGTGATTCATATCTTTGTGGTTATAAAAATTGCATAGGTTTTGTTGGCGTTCTCTAATCTTTCTCTTCTTTTGCCTTTTTTTTTACTTTTGTAATTAGTTCCGTACATTTAATATTAAATTAAGAACGCATTCAATTTGCCATAAAAAATAGGATGGTTGTTTCAAATGGAATTTAAAATAGGTAAAAAAGAAAAAAATGTAAACAAAGATTAATTGTTTTATAGACGAGTCTTTGAATGAGATATAAGAGAGTATTTTATAGACGAGCTGATGGGAGTCCCTCATAGGCGAGCTTAAGGGAGTCTTTTATAGACGAGCAGAAGGGAGTCTTTTATAGACGAGCAGAAGGGAGTCTTTTATAGACGAGCAGAAGGGAGTCTTTTATAGACGAGCAGAAGGGAGTCTTTTATAGACGAGCAGAAGGGAGTCTTTTATGGACGAGCTGAAGGGAGTCTCTCACAGACCAATTGAAGGGAGTCTCTCACAGACCAGTTGAAGAGTCTCTCATAGACGAGCTGAAGGGAGTCTCTCATAGACGAGCTGAAGGGAGTCTCTCATAGACGAGCTGAAGGGAGTCTCTCATAGACGAGCTGAAGGGAGTCTCTCATAGACGAGCTGGAGGGAGTCTCTCATAAACGAGCTGAAAGGAGTCTCTCATAGATGAGCTGAAAGGAGACTTTTATAGACGAGCTGAAGGGAGTCTTTTATAGACGAGCTGAATGGAGTTTCTCATAGACGAGCTGAAGGGAGTCTCTCATAGACGAGCTGAAGGAAGCTGCAGGGAGTCTCTTAACGTCAACATTCAACATTTCGCCTTAACGAATCTTTCTACACTTCCTATAGTCTACTCATAAAAACTCTCCCCGAAACACTCAAAAAGGCTCTCTTTAAATCTTGTTTAGTTCGCATAGAAACTCTCCGTTAAGATCTCCACTACGACTCGGCTTATGTCGTCTAAATGTTAAGTCTCCTTCATGCATGGTCTCCATTTTGCTGTTGTAAAATATGCCGTACTCTGCAAAATTTTGGGAACTACAGGAACTAAAAAACCCATTGCCTAGAAATACCCATTACGACTACCTACATTTTGTTGGGAACATTAATGACACTCTGCAAAAATATACATTACATATCTGGTTACCCACCTATATTTTTAAAAAGGGCATTAGGCACGAAATAATTTTGCTATTTTCTAAAAAGCCGATAACTAAGTACTAATTTAATAGCCACAAAATTCTTGCAACATAACCCTGTTAATGCGTTGTTACCGGATTTGTAATGAGTATTTTTTGTCGGGTAACAACTTGATGCTTGGTTTGCAAAGTCCTTATTTAGTAATGAGAAATTTTGCTGGGTACTGATTGTTTATGAAATTTAGTACCAACACCGGACCTCGTGGACGTTCTCAAGTCCCACATTCCAGTCTTTCAATGTCTAATAAAATCCTCCAATCTTTTTCAACTCGATTTTAATGAGACTTCACTTAACCTAATGTCGAGCAAACAAAAATGTTATGTGTGACCCTAGTTAATTACCAAAAATAATTTATTCCAAACCACTCCCCTTCCCTCCATACCCCACCAAAGAAATGTAAAAGTAATGATAATTGAAATTGCTAATTTTGTTATTTTTCGTCTTCAACTGAATTCATGTGACTGACTCCAGTGCTAAAAATTCAAATATCAAATGACCCATGAGTGTGAGTGTGGGTATTTATGTCAAAAAATATCTCTTTTTAATGGATTTACAAGTCATTGTGTCGTTTGTTTTAATAAATGTGAACGAGCTGGCGAGTGGGTGAATGAATGACTGAAATGACAATCACATCCGTATAATTCATGTGGCAAAAATTTCGCATCTTTACATCTTTCATTTTCAAATGTGAGATTATTTTGCTACTATTGTTAGTACTCATATGGCTGGGTAGGAGGAGATAACTCTCTGAAAGACAGCTGGAGGAGACGCCTATTGTATTAGTCTAGTCTAAAGGTGAATTGAAAGATATTAACAAATAATATAAAATAGAGGAGAGAAACAAAGAAGAAGAAAAAATACATTTTTTTTAAGTTGCAACCAAAGAAGTCATGCCATGATGACTGATTTTTTCCAAGGAATTTATTAATGTCTGCTGCAGCAGGCTTCAGGTTTGGTGGCTGGCTTGCTATTGTGGCTATATTGCCATTGTTATTGTTTTACGATCATTGTCTTTTGTTGTCGCTTCTTTGGATTCTTTGGCGTTTTTACAACTTTGCCACAACTACTGTATGCGATGGTGTCACCATTGCCACTTTTATTGTTTTGTGGAGTTATGTTGCACGTTTTTATGTTAATTCTTAGCAGTGTCTGCTCCTCGTTTGCTGACGTCGAAGGAGAAGAAGCAGAAGTAACGTATATCTGTATATATCTCTCAGTTTGGTGCCCAGAATGTGTGAACATGGTAAAAGTCAGGGAAATGCTATAAATCAACAACGAAATAGACACCCATAATGTAAAAGATTACAGCCAAAAGATTTAGCTTTTGAGGGCTTAGATTAATGGCAGCAATGCCTCTTTTTTGTTTTGAAGAATATTCTTTTTTTATTAGGTGTATAATTAATTAGGTTTTTTTTCTGAGATTTTAGAAGATCTAAAAGAACAAAGTTGATGTTACAAATCAAGTTGATCTGTGTCAGTCAGATTGGGATTAACACTTTTATGAGTGGGGTGATTTTTTCAAATTTTGAGTTGATGATGGGTGTCAAATGACAAGAAATGAAATAACATTTTTATTCAAGTGACCTATTTAGATTCTTCTCGGACACAGCATATAAATACTATATTCATGAGAGTAATTTTCATTTTTATAAAAGAAAACTACTTAGTTTAAGTTTTTTCATACTACAAGTTTGAATACATTAATATATAATAAAAATATAATTCAAATATATATGAATATATAATACATAAATACTATTACTTCCACTTGTTCTATTTAAAATACTCCTATTTTGTCGATTCCTATGTTCGAGAAAAAATAGTCAGTCATGTCTGTCTCAACAGGAGACTAAGGCTTCTTCTTTCTTCGTCACCCAAAGACCCTAATTTTTACAGTGACTCTATTTTAGTCGCCTATGATCCCTGTTATTTATATGCCACACCTGGTAATGCTAAATTGAAGTTTTAATTTTTTTAGAACATCTTGGATGCATTAACAGACCTCTATGAGGATATTCATATGGTCTTTAATAAAGACCCTCTTCTGATCATATATATAGAGACTCCTTGAGGGCGTTAAAAAAATCTTCTCTTCGGATGTTAAGAAAAATTTCTTCTGTCTAGTTATAATGACTCTATTGCAGGTTTTTGAGGCCTCTTGCCTCCTTCTATGATAACTATCTTCTAGTAAATTCTCTCTTTCGCTTCGTTCGCTTATAAAGACGCTCCCTTATTTTCCCATCAGTACCCACTTAATTTACCATACCATTTCTTTCTGGTTCATGAAAATCTTTCTCTCCCTCTCTTAAAACTAATCTACGGTACAATTTACAAAAAAATGCCTACAAAATCAAGAATGTATCAGGATCAAGGAAGGTTGTCCTTTAGTTATCTTCACATCGGCCTTAAATGACATCCTTTACAGTTCAACTATGAAGGAGCCCATCTATAGAAAAATTCATTAGTCTTGTTGGTGTATAAAGACTTTATATGGACCAGATTTTATACTTCATGGGAACTCATAAACACAAAATAAAGACCTTTTGCGTTTACTTTTAAATCTGCCCTTCTTACCGTCTGTAAATACCAGAGCTTAGAAAAAAATGTTCGAGTTTGAGTAGAGAGCGAAAATAGCTCGAATTCGAGGAGAAGTGTTTCTGAAAATAAAAAAATTGACTATACTCTTTCTCTCTAAACCACATAAATAAGAGAGAGAGAGAGAGAGAGCGCTTTGCTAGTTTTCGATTGGGAATAAAATTCGCTCAAAATCGAGTACTCTTCACAGCTTCCCTTTAAAGTTCGTCAAGCTAAGACTCATTTAAGAAAGACCTTTATAGGCTACTCGTTCTCTTCCCCCTGTTCTTTTATACCTTCCACCTTAGAAAGGAGGGTATATTAACTTTGACATTCCGTTTGTAACATCTCTAAAGATCGGTACCTGCCGATATTCGGTATTTTGATGATTTTTGCCACAATTTTTCACAGATTTGTCTGAAAATTGTTATTTGTAGCTCATAACGGGCCCTAGTTCGTGTGGCGAAACATTGTATGTATAGGACCAAGCTTTGGTATAGCCCACATATAATGGTACCTGCTGATATTCGGTATTTTGATGATTTTTGCCACATTTTTTCACGGATTTGTCTAAAAATTTGTATTTGTTGGTCATAATTGATTCAAGCTCAGGTGGCGAAACATTGTATGTATAGGTCCACGTTTTGATATAACTACCTTATAACGGTCCCACCCGATATTCGGTATTTTGATGATTTTTGCGGCATTTTCCCATAATGGGTTCTAATGTTTCCTTTACCCTATTAAAAGTTCGG